CTAGGCATGCACAAGTGGGAGAACATGTCCAATTCCCGCCACCATACACAGAGATGTTTCCAGGCTGTGCAGTCGTCTACAGATTTTTTTTGTAACTCAGATAAAAAGCTCGTTCTCAGAGTTAAAGTGCTGAGTGTGGGTCCCACCTGGAGATTAAAAAAAAAAAAAAAAAAGCCGCACAGTTTTAAAATGCTGGCTTTCTGGGCTATGCTCCTAGCGTGACCTCTGTCTCTTGTAGGAGACAGAGAATTTGGATGGGGTTTTGTGAGTAAAGTGCTAAGGCTTGCTTGATGGCAATGTGAACTGATGCGTGCCTGGAACTGTGCTCAGCTCATGGGCACCAAATGGCTGAGGCGGGAGCAGCTCCCTCTTCACTCTACCATGCTAAACTGTGTTGATCTCAGGCATGATCTATCCTAATTACCGTAATAACAGTGCAGTTAAGGCTCAGACTGGGCAGGAAACAGGCGGTACCCTATTCCCCTATGTGGCGCAAGCTAAAGTTTTTAAGAAGCATTTTGAATTTTAGCATTTTAAGAAGTACACCTGAACAGTAAAGAATTACATATTCACAGTAGGACAGATTCAGACATAAAAGACCTCTAAATGCGTCATAATGTTAGATAGACATATGCAGGCTTAGGAGAGAGAAGAGAAAGAATATAGAGAATAAAGTTAATGCTTTAAAGAACGGGTAAAGTCTTTAAAGAGAAAGAGTACAGATAGTTATAGATTGAAAGAAATAAAGAAAAATAAGCCATGTAAAAACTGAAAATTCACAGAGAGTTTGGGTTCTGTATATTGTATTTTCTTTCAATTTTTTGACTGTGAAGGAACTAAATACAGAGAGACATTCCATTATATGGGCTGCTAAGCTAAACCTGCACATATGTTCTAAAGGTATCTTGACTTCAGAATTTGGATCTAAGAATATGATGCTTTGGAAAAGAGAGTCTTCTTTTGTTTTCACAGAGGATGAGACCCTGTGGATTGCTTCTATCCCAATATAGTATGATAGACCATGCCCTCCTGAAAGATTGCTGTGAACACCCTCAAAAAAATACTTCACTCAATTGCTGACTGAAATGAACCTGACACACAGGATATACCATTAAAGACATGATTAACAGTGCCCCTATACAGCAGGAAGAAGTTTGGAGAGAAATAACTATGTCCATATTCCTAGATATTGTTTATAAATGTTCTTTTACATTTAAAGGGGGATATGATATAAATATGAATAATTTACATTGGTATAAATTTTGCCTTACTGATAGAAATTTAAGGTCAATTTTATTATATATATATTTCTGATCTTGATTAAGGTACTGTGATTATGTAGTTCATTTTAAAATGTAATGTATAGTTAGGAAATATAGGTTGTTAATGGATAATCATCAATAATAACCAAGCTTGTAGTCATGATAGTTAGATTTTCTAGATATAGAACTATATTTCAGTTAGATAGGCATTCTTCATATCTTTCAAAGACTACAGAATATGGCATTTAATGTTTTAATAACTTAGGGCAGTTTGTGACAGTGAGACACAGCTGCTCCTGGCAACACCAATCTACTTCAAGAGGAAGATGGGCATCGAAGAGGCTCCTTATGGAGTTTGATAGCCATTTGGGCAAGAAACTGCTCTTGCCTGGACTGTTGCATAAACTGGGCACAAAGAACCTGCAGAGAGAGGACTGCTGAACTTGCCTAAAGGTGAGATGGTTTTTCAGGGTTCCTGCTTCATGAAGGAGTATGCAAGACATTCTGCAGGACACAAAAGAAAGTGACTGAACTGTCTTTGGAATTTCCTGCTTCATAGAAATGTCTACTGGATACTATGGCCCTGTATACTGAAGATGGATGCCCCTACGGTACATAGGAACTTTGGGTGACTGTACAGGCAATGAGCTGTCTGTCATTTATAGAGTTTTGGAAGTTGCTTACTTCTTGCTTACTTAGGTAATATTATATCCGTCTGGAGTCTTTGATGGACTTGAAGAATGGTTAGTTATAGTTTTCCTTTGTTATGGTAAAAGATAAAATAGATATAAATATTGTAACTGTAATTCCTGCTTGATAGCTGTTTTGTTATCTGTAATTTTACTATGTTAAAGTTAAAGCCTTCCATTTAAAAAAAAAAAAAACAGAAAAAAAGGAAACTGGTGTAGGAAAGTCTTTTTTCTATGTGTTGCTTTCATTGGCCAATTAATAAAGAAACTGCTTGGTCTGATAGGTCAGAACATAGGTAGGTGGGGTAGACAGAAGTGAATGCTGGAAGAAAGAAAGCAGAGTCAGGCAGATGCCATTGAAGCTCCAGCCTGACATGGACGTAGGCTAGAATCTTCCTGGTAAGCCACGACCCCATGGTGACATACAGATTATAAGAAATGGGTTGAATCAATATGTAAGACCTAGCCAACAAGAGGTTAAATCTAATGGGCCAGGCAGTGTTTAAATGAATACAGTTTCCAAGTAATTATTTTGGGTAAAGCTAGCCAGATGGCAGAACGCAGCCCACTGTTCCTTCTACACCTGCAGGAAGTAGCCAGACTTGAACTGGCACCCCTATACCCACAGAGTATGTGATGTTTAGTTGAAAGTGTCACCCCAGCTGCTGACATGCATATGCCCAAAGAGTATGGAATGTTTGGATTAAGGCTTCACCTCAGCCCCTGGCATCCATATATCCAAAATGTCTCGAATGTTTGGGTGGAAAGAACAAGCTGTGGGCTGCATCCCTGCCATCTGGCTCCTAGCCACGTGGCTAGCTTATGCCCAGAAATAATTACACGGAAACTGTATTCTTTTAAACACTGCTTAGCCCATTAGTTCTAGCCTCTTAATGGGTAATTCTCACATCTAGGTTAACCCATTTCTCTTCATGTGTGTATCACCAGTCTTACCGGGAAAGATTCAGCATGTCTGACCTGGCAGCTTGCTCCATCACATCTGACCTGGAGAGGAGAGGCATGGCGTCTGCCTCACTTCCTCTTCCTCCCAGCATTCTGTTCTGTTTACTCCTCCCACCTATGTTCTAACCTATCAGGCCAAGCAGTTTCTTTATTAACTAACCAATGACCTTCCTCCATCAGGAAAGTCCCATCACAAGCTCTTCCTGTGGGAGTAGCCTCAGTCCAGATTCCACCCCCAAGAAAGCCCGCCAAACAGTGGTCCCTCTTCAGTAATGTTCATGATCACTCCCACAGGGTATTTAAGCTGCTCCCCAGGGAACAAACATATAGATTTCTGGTCTTCCTTCCCCATCTCCTCTCTGAGGGCTTATGAGGGCACCTGGGAGCACTGGCATCCATTAAACCTGGGCTTTTTCTTTTAAAAAAAAAATCAGTTTTATTTGGTCTAATTTTTATTATTGCATTAGTGGAGAGGTTTACTGGGAAGTAAAAACTTTTCATCAACATACACCCTTCTATGACCATAGGTGTTATGGTTCCCATCACACAGTGCTATGGCTAGTACTTCGACATTCCAGAGTCATCCATGCACCAACAAGCAGTAAGGCAAATTACATAGCCACTCAAGATCCTCAGGCCTTATGTGACATAAATTCAACATGGTCACATCACCTATGCATGACCCAGCTAAGTAAGGCCCCGTGTGCATACATGAGGTAGCTTTTAAAAGCTGGACATGTCCACTCCATACTCTCCCTGCAACTTTCTCAGGCCTTTATGCATATGTCTTTCTTTTTAATAAACTCTTCATATGGGTTTTGTTGTGTGTTTTGTGATCTGTTCTGGATCGCACCCCATAACTTCAGCAGGACAATTCAACAAACCATATAAGCAGATATAGCACAATTCTTTAAGACAAATGAGAATGAAATTTGATTTTGAAGCAAGAGTCTAATATAATAATTTGATCAGCATTTGGTTCAGTGTTTACTATATGTGGAGCTGAAACATTGAATTAGTAATAATAAATTATAAGACCTATAACTAAAATACATAATAATTGTAATGTATAATTAAATAAAATGTACATTATAATTCTTATGTATAATTGTATACATATTTTATACATATTAGTGTATATATAAAATAGTTATAATATGTTAATAAAACATTGAATAAATATTTGAATCCTTCTTCAAAAGCAACAAAAAATGATACTTAACAGATTATAAACAAAATAAGAAAAGTAAACAGTTATTAAACTGTCACGAGGAATACAACATATTTAAGAATTTTTCATACCATAGGAAAATATTACATTTGGATGATATCAGTAGTATTTTGATTGCATTTATTTTTAATTAATCTGAGAAAAAAATGAATCAGAATACTGTATGTTTAGGAAAAATATCAGCGATTCAGAAACACAAAAATCTTATGGTTTTGGAAGCATTTATTTCTTTCTCAAAATCAAATAGCGTTTGATTATCAGAAACAAATTAAAACTTAGCCAAATTGATACAATCATCTTTATAATGTGACTAACAATCCCATATTGAGAATGATTGAATTAAATTTATAGATAAAGCTCCACCTAAATGATTGCAGTCAATATCAAGGATAATGATTTGCCTGTCGGCATGCAAAGTTAGAAGGAATCAAATGAACACATTGCACTTCTTAAAGATTGAAACTTCAGGAAGAGCAGCAGATATAACTCCTTTATGTGCATTTAAGTAAATTAAGATGAAGATTAGACCTGAAGAATCTCTGACCTAGGATAGTTAATACCAATAAGTTTTATTTATAACAGCCAATGATTGGAAACCATTTATAGGTCATCAGAAGGTAAAGTGGCTTATCTTCAATGTACTATCCATTACAGTTCTGGAATACCACTTACCAGGACGACCCGGGAACCACTATAATATAATCATAGTTTTTTTTTTTTTTTGTTATAGTCCTTGTATGCTAATAATACTCATTTTAAATTGCTTGGTTTAATTTACACATTTATGCAGATGTACAACATAGGTCAATAGAAAGGCCTTAGTTTTATATTATTATTAATTATGTTAATATTTTGTCATTTGCTGAATGCAGCCAACTTGTTGAAAGCAACTGTGAGAAAAACAAATATTTACCATAAATGTTGGAAGTAACATATGGATAAGGGTTTTTAAGTATTTTTAAATTCTTCTCTTATACAATTCCAACCTCTGTTTTCTCTCCCTCTATTCCTCCCAATACCTACCCCCTACTAACATGTCCCCTCTCCTCCATATTCTCTCCTCCTCTGTTTCCCTTCAGAAAAAAAGCAGGCCTCACAGAGATATTAGCTGAACAAAGAAAGCTTAACAAGCTACAATTCAACTAGACACAAACCCTTTTATCAGTATGGATGAGGCAACCCAGTTGGAGGAAAAAAGTCCCAAGAGCAAGCAAACGGGTGAGAGATACCTCCTCTCCTACTATTAGGAGTTCTACAAAAGCACCAAGCAACAACCAAAACATATTTCCACAGACCCATATAGGCTCCATGATTTTGATGTTTGCAATTTGCAGGGCTATTCTGGTTCAATGAAGTAGTGTCAGTAAAGTAACTACTATAATTTCAAAACCCTGAGGTAAGATTGACCAATAAAAAGGTTTAATTTTAACACAGTATTTCCATACTTATAAATCATTTTATACACTGTAATTATGAGCAAAAGTAATAAGCCAAAACTTCTCTATTTCAGTTCTAAATAACTTCAGTCAAAATCCTTAATTCAATTAAACATAGTTTCATGATCTAATAAAATAATTACATCAAGTGCCTCCCCCAATGTATAATATAAAATGGGTTACTTGCAGCCAACAGGTTTGATGTTCAAAAGTAGAATATGAATAACGAATTGTAGCTGTTTCTAACTGGTAAGGGTAAAGATTCATGATTTCCTCTAAAAGGTTATAAATTGTATATAATACAAAAATGTTCATCATAAATATTTAACATTTTTAGGTAAGAAGAAATTGTATATACACTTTGAAAAAAGACTGCAGTGATCTTCATGGTGTTAGAAAAAAAGAAATACAATACTTTTGAACTGTGGGCAGAAATAAAACTTTCTTCATAAATTTATTTTAATTAAGAAATTTGTTACAGCAACAGGAAAGGTAAGTAAAATGGGTAAATGAATTCTACTATTTTGAGTATAGCATATATACTATCACAGACTATATACTTGCTGAATAGGAGCTACATGCTTTAAAATAAGATGCATTTTTAGCAACCAGAACCAAGAATACATAATGTAGATTCATAATTAGATATCTGTTACCCAGTATTGCCATCAAGTTGATTTAGGTCTTACCATTATTACTCACTTCTTTTTAGGATATATTTGTCTCTAGGCAAAATGTTTATAGTGGAGCTTTTGTGATTTGCATAAACTTCCCAGGACTCTTGTCCCATGATTTCTCAAAAAAAAAAAAAATAAAAATAAAAAAAAAAAAAAAGAAAAAAAAAAAAATGAAAAAATAAAAATGAAAAAATAGAAATAATAAAAAAAAAAAAAAAAAAAAAAAAAAAAATGAACTTAAAAATAAAAAAAAAAAATAAATAAAAAAAATAAAAAAAAAATAAATAAAAAAAAAAAATAATATTACTAATAAAATAAAATAAAAAAAAAAAAAAAAAAAAAAAAAAATATATAATAATAAAAAAAAAATAAAGAAAAAAAAAAATAAAAAAAATAAAAAAAAAGGAAAAAAATTAAAAAACTAAATAATAAAAAAAATTTTATAAAAAAAAAAAAAAAAAATAATTAGAATAAAAAAAAAAAAAGAAAATAAAAATATTTCAGACTACATCCCAGATGACTCAATATCAAAAGAGAAGTATGCTTTAATTTAGCATTACCTAGAATAAGAAATAATGAATGGGATGAAGGATACATGAGTCCAGTTAAAATGCAAATAATATGAAACAGTTCAATGTGATGTTTCTCAGTAATCCATGATGTCAGAAGGGACAGAATGTAAGTAGCATAGAGCAGAAGGAAGGAGACTATAATTTTCATGGCATTTGTATGTGCATTGGTATTGAGGTCTCCATGTCCTCTGGCATTGAGCTACATATTATGACAATGTTTCCACAAAGAAAAAATTAACAGGAGAAAAGAGATCAAAGCCAATGAAAATGGTGATAGAGAGAACATAGCTGTGTAGAATAAGAACAGCTCTGAAAATAGTGCAAACTCTGTCTCCAAGGAATTCACAGTTGTGTTTCCTCCATATTGACGGAATCTCTCTTCAAGAGTGATGCTCATTTTTATCAGATTTGCAAGCAAAAAGGCCAAGCTTCCCAGCAGTACCCCCACAATCAATTGTTTAAGTCTACATTTCAAGTAGTGAAAGATCTGCCAGGAGAAATTAGCTATTCTGAGTAAATAAAAGATGCTAAGGGCCGTGGCAAGCCAGAGATTGAAGTGGCCAGATAGTATAGAGCAGAACATAGCTATTTTTAATTCTTCTTTGGTAATAAATGAAATTGATTGAGTTTTAACCCAAATAAATAGTACTTCCCAGATGAGAGTAATTCTGGAAATGGCCAAGATAATGAGGATTTGATCAACTGGAGAAAGCTCTCCTTTATTGACCCAGTCAAAGCAGTTTTCCACCATTATCAATCCATTGCTCAAATTCCCCAAAATGAACTCGGCAACTACTACAGTAGTGGAGATGCTGTGCAGGACAGGTCCCATGTTGAAACACAGAAAACTCAAAGTCTAATAGCACCGCCTATCACATGCTGAGTAAATGTCTGGCATATGGTTCAATGTGCAGCTAAATTCTTCCTCTCTTCGTCCTCCTCTTTCTCCAGTCTCCTATTTTAAAGCAAGACAGCCATCTCTCATTTGGCATTGAATTTGCACATATTCTTGTTAAGTATTTTTCTGCAGTTCTCCGATGAGTCCTAACTAATGTTTTTATATGTTTGCCGTTGGCTATAATATTCAGCAGATGATGTGGAAACCAAGCTCACATTTGCTGATATGCAAATTAAGAAATACTCTTTCCCACTCTTTTGCATCTTTGGCATTTTTCAGATTTAGGACGTTTGGTTGTGCCAACTTGAGTTCTAAAGTACAAAGTTCCAAAAGTCTGATTCAGCAAATATAAAGTTGAACAGAGGTTTTGTATTCAAGAGTCCTTTAAGCCACTGAAGATGCAAAAGACTTGTGGTGACAGGTCTGTGTTTGTCAACAAAACTTCAGATTCCAGTGGAACTCAGGCTCCATTTTTTCAACTCTGAGAGTGGAAACTTGCTTCAAACAATGAAAGAGAGATTCATTTTAAAGAGTCAACATTTCTCTGCCAGAAGAAAAGAAGAAATTAGAATTCAAAAATACAGACTTAAGTAAGATAATTAATTTGAAATTCATATTAATAAAATATTTTAAATATTGCCTTAACCTTGACTAATATAAAATATTATTATTTCACCTGACAAAAATTATTTAGTAAATTATCAATTTATGAATTGAAAAGCTTCACATTTTATTAATCAGTCAAATTTTTCAGGTGGTATAAAGAACACTTGAACATTTACAATTAATTTTCAAATTTGACTTACAAATTTAAAAAGTTATATTGTTCCCAATGCCAGCGTACAAAGTTCCTTTTCCATATTCTCAATCTTATATATCATTATCAAGGAAGTTCAAAGTCTGACACAGAAGGGAATGATTGAGAAAGGAAAGTGGTTATTTGATTTGCTGAGTAGGCGAGCTTCAGATGTCAGCAGTCATAAGCAGGAGGGAGATGGAAAGAGAGGTCATCAGAAAAGAATCTAGGCAGTGAGTGGAGTACCTGGGATTCTCAAAGATATCTGCAAGTGCTAACATATCAAAAGGCAATCTTCAAAATGCTTGTAAATGCTTAATTCAAACAGAACCAGGTGAGTATCTGGGGGCCCTAAACTATCCCAAAATCTAATAAGAAAAATGAAGACAATAAATTCAGCTTGTTATACCTTTTGTGTGCAAAGTTAGCAAGGGTTGTTAGGGAAAAGCTGTGATAGTGAACAGGGTAAGTATCTCCTATCTCAAGCAAGCTTAAATTTGAGCCAAAATAGACAAGATTTTAACTGATCATCACTCAAAACTGACAGCTGTGGAATATCGTCAGATATTTGTTTCCTTGACTGGACTGACATGATACAGACCTTTCTACATGCTAGGCTCACATCCCAGAGCAGAATACATAGTCTTTATCCCACCTCACTGAAAACATTGGCAGATGCCAAATACAGATGTTTTTGTTGTTCTTTCTGTTGGGCACACCTTGAACCTTCTACATGTATTTTCTCTTTTCACTTTACTAAATCTTCTCTTATTTTTACTTATTAATTTTTTTGTTTGTTCCAACCACATTTTGGGAAGGTGTTCTAGATGTAGTTCCCCCTAACTTAGGTTCCCTGACCTAAAGAACAAGGTGGTTATTTACTTATTTAGTAATCTTCTTGCTTTCTGGGGTAGAAAGGAGGAAGCAGAAAGGCACTGTAGGAGAACCCTGTGAGCCAGCCATCTAAGTGTGAAGCCTTTTAGGTTTGTAAGCACATATCTCATTAAAAGGACAATTACTTTTACCATTTCTTAATCTCATCTTCAGCTGGGTCTTCTCTTCCATTTTGGATTAGAACAGTTTGCTTTAGGTTGTAAAATAAAAGTTCCTCTTTAAATCAGGATTTTTCTTTACAGAAGATCACAAACTTTGTATAGGCATGAGAGGCATATAATATAGCCACCTACAAGTGACATTTGTAAACTCTGGATCAACCTCCCATGCCACTCCAGACAGAGAATGTTATTATATTCGTATTCATATCCCCTATGGTATCTGGAATGCAGAGAGCTTGTATATGGCCTTCCTTTGCCTCTATTCAACCCAAGACTCTCCTCATGATAGTTCTATATTCACTCAGGCAAAATCAATATTCTACAGTAATATTTTTAGCTTTAGATATTTACAATGTCTGAATAAGTAGATATACTGTATTGGAGCTTTTAATTTTAATCTCACAGGTCTGAAAAATACTCTTTTATATCTTTTGATTCCAGGAGCAAATGAGAGTTCTCTAGTATATCTAGAAAAAAATTTAGTGATATTCCTTAGAGCTAAAAGGCACAAAGAATCTGCAAACACTGGTCACCTAAAGGACAGCACAGGATTTACATATTAGGAAATATGAAAATTCAATCCAAGGCACTGAAGTATTCACAAATGCTGATATATACAGTGAGAGATAAATCTAGTTCTTACAGGTCATGGCGCAAGGCTTCATGACCATGATAAAGCTGGGAGCAACTCATCGGTGTACTGTTTCACGTGTTTCACTTTGCTTCTGTGAGTCCTTAAAAGAGAATCATGATCTCTTCTTTTTCTTTAAGTATAAAAATGTGCTGCAGTTCCTGCGATTAAACATGGTAATATTTGCAAGAGAGTAATGTTAGCTATCTATGTATAAGAATACAACATAAACATTAATTTCTAGCAGTTTATTTTTTGAATCCTTAGTAGTTTCTTTTCCTGATTCCTCCATATTCTCCCCTCATCTCTGCTGCTTGCCCCAAAAAGAAAAAAAGAACTTTCTCCCTGTTTCATTTTCCCTCAAAAAAGAAACAAGCGGAAACAAAGTAAATAAGCAAGCAAAAGCAGTTAGGCCCCATCTGCTTTGAGTAGGTGTGGCAGTCCTTGGGTCAGCCTGAGTTCAGAGCCTGAAGCTGATTTTCTTCTCTAATTTTTTTTATTTTTAATTAAAATGTAAGTACATATTTAACCCTTCCTTTTTTCTTCCTCTCAAATTCCTCCCTCTTCCTCTCATATTTATGTCATCTCTTTTAAAAGCATTATTATACATACATTAATAAACATATAAATTTAAACCTTGAGTCCATTTAGTGTGTTTATTTCAGGTTCCCTATCCTCGGCTTCCCAAAGGACTAACTGGGGACATCGCCTTGGGCTCCTGGGAGCCACTCAAAGTTCAAGTCTCTTGCCAACCCGCGTAATTTTTTTGATACTGACTACTTGGTATTGTGTAACAAATTAGAGAGTTCATCTCTGTGGAAAATTAATTTTCGCTTCAAAAGTTGCTCTTACCTCTTCATCTAGGCATGGGGCCATCATAAAATTTTTCTCACCTATGTTGACATGTCAACTAATGCTTAATCAATTTAACTTTTTAAAGATTTGTTAGTCATTTATTCAACACTTTTAAATTAAACATTTACCAATCTGTCTCAATAACTTTTTACTGAATCCCTTAAAAATATAAATTACTATGGAACAGATGACATGATTGATTGTTCTATCTACCACTTTAAATGCTTATATTGTAATTGATCAAAGGAAAAGAAGCTGTATGGTCAAACTAAAAATAACAAAACAGACTTGATGATAATTTTTGTTTATAGCACCTTTACTTTTAGTGCCCAAGGCAAGAAAAGATGTATATCTTCTGAGTGATTATCAAACAATTATGACTCACCCATAAATAAAATACAACTCAGTGACAAAATATGGATTAATCTCAAGAACATTATGTTGAATGAAAGGTGACACTTTCTTATCTACCACCTCTTCTCCCAAAATATTATTCTAAGAAAGGGAAATCTTTAGAAGCAGAAATCACATGTCATTTTATTTTTTTCAGTAATCATGGAATCATGATGACTATTTGCAGAGGGGAAAAACCAGGGAATTTTAAAGGATGTGATTCTTACTATGGCCTAGGTATACATATAGATGCATGGATTTATATAATGGTTAAACTCATAGAATGTACAACACGTCAAAATTATGACAGAATTTATTGTAGTGCTACCTTCAAATAACATAATGAAGCATTTATCTCAAGCTTAAGACAGTAACAGGCTAACTCTTAGATCATTGGCATTCTCCAGCTGGAAATTGAAATATCAGATAACATCACTATTGCTTAGTGTTTTGAATATTCAAATCATTGTGTTTTATAAGCTAATATAAGTAAAAATTTTATAAATCATTAAAACTAAGAAATAAAATAAACATGGTATTTTATATGTTATAATTTTGTCTACAAAAGACAAAAAGAATAAAATTAAAACCAAAAGTATATCTGACAGTTCAAACAACTTTGTTCACCTTGTAAATAAAAAGCAGTTATACCTTGCCATGTGTCTATCATCTGGCACCCAATCTCATAAAACCTTATAACATTTAATTTGAGAACTAAATTATATGTTATTTTACAAATTCCTATCACACTTTTAAAATACTGGTTTTTGTCTTTGATAATGGCTTTGGCAATGTCTTGTCATGTGAGCACAGGTGCCTGTAGAGGCCAGAAGAGAACATCTGATCCCTTAAAACTACAGTGACAGGTTGTCGTGAGCCACCTAATATGATTGCTGAGAAAGAAACTCTTTGGGTCCCCTGAAAGAGCTACAAACACATTTACCAAATGTGCCTTTTCTCAGTCATTACTAACAGAATCCCATGTAGCGGCAACCTCTGTCTCCAGATATATTTTGTCTGAGCCGAGGTAAATTATATATTGTTTTACAAATTCCTATCACACTTTTAAAATACTGATTTTTGTCTTTGATAATGGGTTTGGTATTATCTTGTCATATGAGCATAGGTACCTGTAAAGGCCAAAAGAGAACATATGATCCCTTAAAACTAGATTGACAGGCTAGCGTGAGCCACCTAATGTGGT